ATGTATGGATATAATCTGGCCTCTAAATTTTTATATCTTAAAAGGCAGAATTTATGAAGACAGCCTAGAACAGACACAAGCCCAAATAAATTGAACATATCAAAGGCTGAAACATTACTTAAAATTATATGTGAAAAATTTCTACCATCTATAAGTGGTTGATGTATCTTATGGAATATTTACGTAACTGAACAACCTTTTACAGAAAATATGTTACCAAATTTAACTTTTTGATCTTGCTTGCAAATTGGCATGCCCTTGTAACATGTTGTTTTTTGAGAATAAAATTTATTATCTATATTATTATTATAAAATACTAGTCAGTTGACTATTCACTTTCACATCGAATGATCAACGCATGGAACCAGTTACTTCAACACGCGGTTGAAACACTTTCTGTTGACCCGTTCAACAGACTACGTGCGAAAACACCATCGCACGAACTTACACAATCTGATCAGCTTTCTTTATCTTCTAAACTGAAACAAATAAATGTTGCAACCATTTTATCCGCGAAAACTAGGTAAATGTAGAGAATTTGGCGGTAAATTTGTGGAAAATCAGATATATGGAATGGTGTTGAAAAGTTAAATCCCACACGATTTTCTTTAAATTAGTGAATTTCAGAGCGAAGTCACAATGTTTGTCACGCGCTATGGAATAAGGAGACATGTTGCTGTACGTTTTCTTGTTTTCACATCGATATTACCGAAGAATCTTTCCCCGGAATCCTCCATCTATTTCCTCATTTGATTTATCTAGAATTATGAGAACATCAAATACACTGATCATGTCCTACCAAATGAGATCTTTTACATCTTACTCAAGTCAATGCCTTCTACCTGACATCTCTGTCTATTCCAGATGTAGAAAATCGTTGTGCTATCAGCTTTATGGTATGTCAGATAGCCGGACGAACAGGTTTGTGCAACGTATCGAAGTCACTGAATCCATAGTGTCCCATCATGACTGTACGTGTAGATATATCTCAAGGTAAAGCCATTCTTACGTGCTAGATTCGTAGTTTCAAAGTTTTCGGCCATAACTTGTGCACAAGATTGAGATCATGCAGCTGAGAGATTTGAACAAGATTGATTTATCTGAATTTTTAAGGGAGTTAGACGAGACAAGGTGTCTGCAACTGTTTTGTTTGGCGCAAGAAATTTTTTGTATGTAATTGTTTTAGGCTCGCAAGACGAGAAATCGTTTAAAGACGAACTAAAAGAAAAATTTAAGGGTTTATTGTCAGTGCAGAGATAGAACTCTTATTTTTCTCTAGAGGGTTTAAAGTACTGTTGGTAGTGCAGGATCTAAAGCCGTTTCAAGCAAATGACTACATTTCATCGAACAATGTTTTCTTTACTTATAATAATAAATAAACTCAAACCCACCTGAATTTGTTTGTACGAATCAACAAAATGACCTTACACGATTACATATACGGACATTTTTGAAAATGGTTGAAACTGTCAATGATCGTGAAGCAAGAATTACACGATATAGTGAACTACTTGAAGCATTTGCATCAGTAAAAATTTGTTTTTGTTTGTTCAATTTTTAGTTTGATCCTGGTAATGCTGGTTCATTGTCTGTAAAGTACATTGTTCCTGCTCTGCGAAAGCTTGGATGTAAATCAAGTGATTCAGAAATACTAGAAGCAGTGAAAGCTGCTGAAGTTAATCAGAACGCTGAGAAAATTACTTTTTATGACTTCAAAAGAGTATGTCATCTTCGGATATTTTAATTTTTCGTAGATTTATCAGGAAGCATGCAAAGGTAATCCTATGGTTTCAGCCATAGGAAATGCCGGTTCTAAATCTAATCTTTATCACTACGGGACGTATGGAGACAGAATAGATGATGATACCCTACACAGCGTTAGTGAAGAGGAACAAGTAGGGTTTTCTAGTTGGATTGAGAGGTAAACTTCGTTTTGTTTTTATGCTGCTCGACAGAAATTTAATCGATGATCCAGAATGTAAACGATACCTACCGTTCAAATCCGATGGAAGCGATTTATACGAAAAGTGTACAGATGGCATTCTATTGTGGTATGTTCTAGTTTGTATTAAAATATTTAAGTCATATACGTTCCTTGGTTTCTTTGTAAAATATGTTTTTTTCTTCAGTTTTTCATGACTATTTTTGTAAGTAACTCATTTCTGTAAACAACAGACTCTATTTTACGATCAACTGTCAATAATTTGTCACTTTTTTACGCATTTACGGTTTGTTTTTGTCGACTATTATTGTAAATGCTTCAGGTCTTCCTATCAATTTATGCTTTAAATCGTAAACGGCACATACCATATTAATGAATGAATGCCCTAAAATGTGTTCGAACACACTAGCTGTCAAATTGCATCAGTGTATTTTGATTTCCGGACTCACTGTTTTTTCAGGACGTACTTGTAAATAATTTCCATTAGTAGATGAAAGCATGTCAGATGCAACATGCCTCTCAATAGAGATCCAGTTGATCGTATTCATCAACAGGGCTGAGTGAATTCGCCAGTGTAGGGCGTTAGGAAAATTTTCCACTTGACAAAAATAGCGAAGTTCAAACTTGGTTTTATTCAACCATAATTTTTAATTCATTTTTATGATAGCCTCAGAGATGATCAGTCCAAGAGGGAATAAATCGCTTAATTTTGAAAGTGGCATATAACATCACCTAATAAATGGCTTACATGTTTGACTAACCCTAAACCAACATAAAACATATTGTATTTTTATAACAATATCAACCGTAAATTCAGTTGGAGATTAGGGACTAGGATCAAGAGGACGTTTGTGCAATATTTGATCCATGCATTTACAAAGAAATGAAGGGACCCTTTTTCTTGGGATTTACAGGCATATTAAATTCGAGCATATATTAGTTACAAGTGATTTGTCGAAAACCAAAGGCAACAGCTGGAGAATCACTTAACTGTATGTATTTCTATGACAAGTAGATTTAGTAGAATCTCTCATCAATGCATCCTTCAATCCAAAAAAAGAGGGGATAACAGTGAACGTCATCCAGTTCTATGCAACCACCAACGATTACAATGAGGTCGATAAATAACAATTCATAGAGGGGCCGCAGTCAAAAAACTAACTCGCCAAAAAACGCTAACCAAAAAAAACTAATTCAAACCATTTTAACTCTGCCCCTGGGAGTTGGAGAAGAATTATGACGTCGCGTGATGAAAGCCGAGTTCCCTCGGAAGTCACGGGCTGATGCCTCTTCTGACAACCAGAGCAACCATTTTTTTAGGTACATGGAACGTTCTTACATTGTGGGAGACTGGACGACTATTTCAACTTGTGGCAGAAATGAAAAGATACAACCTCGAGGTGCTTGGAATCAGTGAAACGCATTGGACACGAGTAGGACAACTGAGACTAGCTTCTGGGGAACTGCTGCTATACTCTGGTCATGAAGAGGAAAACGCTTCATATACACAAGGATTTGCTTTGATGCTGTCCAAACATGCACAAAAGGCACTAATATGATGGGAATCTCATGGACCCAGGATCATCAAAGCATCCTTCAAAACAAAGAAAGCGGACATTACAATGAACGTCATCCAATGTTATGCACCTACCAACGACTACAATGACGACGATAAAGATCAATTCTACGAAAGGCTGCAGTCAATCGTCGAGAAATGTGCACCAAAGGATTTGACGATTCTTATGGGAGACCTGAATGCTAAAGTTGGCATAGACAACACTGGATATGAAGACATCATGGGACGACATGGACTGGGAGAAAGGAACGAGAACGGTGAGAGATTTGCAAACCTATGTGCCTTCACCAACCTGTCATCAGTGACACAATATTCCCGCACAAACTCATACACAAAGCCACATGGATTTCACCGGATCACACTACTCAAAACCAGATTGATCATATCTGTATCAACAAAACGTTCAGAAGGACTATAGAGGATGTGAGAACCAGGAGAGGAGCTGATGTAGCCTGAGATCACCCTTTGCTAATCGCCAAAATGAAACTAAAACTAAAGAAGAACTGGCCAACGGGCCGGATTTCGTAAGGATCGATCATGTACTGACCAAATTGCTACATTACGAATCATTGTGGAACAATCAATTGAATGGAACTCACCACTCTACATCAACTTCATCGACTACGAGAAAGCATTCGATAGCGTGGATAGGAAAACACTGTGGACTCTTCTTCGACACTATGGTGTGCCTGAGAAAATAGTTAGCATCATACGGAATTCTTATGATGGATTCAACTGCAAAATCGTGCACGGAGGACAGCTAACAGACTCGTTCGAGGTGAAGACCGGTGTCAGGCAAGGTTGCTTACTCTCACCCTTTCTCTTTCTCCTGGTGATCGACTGGATTATGAAAACGTCAACATCTGGAGGGAAGCACGGTATCAACTGGACAGTTAGGACGCAGCTGGACGATCTGGACTTCGCAGATGACTTGGCTCTTCTATCGCACACATAACAACAAATGCAAGAGAAGACGACCAGTGTAGCAGCAGCCTCAGCAGCAGTAGGTCTCAACATACATATGAGAAAAAGCAAAATTCTCCGATGCAACACAACATGCACCAACCAAATCACTCTTGATGGAGATGCCTTGGAGGACGTTAACACCTTTACATATCTGGGCAGCATCATCGACAATCAAGGTGGATCCGATGCAGATGTGAGGGCACGGATTGGCAAAGCAAGGACTGCATTTCTACAGTTGAAAAATATCTGGAGCTCCAAACAATTTTCAACCAAAACCAAAATCAGGATTTTCAATACAAATGTCAAGACAGTTCTACTGTATGGAGCGGAAACTTGGAGAACTACGAAAGGCATCATCCAGAATATACAAGTGTTTATTAACAGTTGTCTACGCAAAATACTTCGTATTCGTTGGCCAGACACTATCAGCAACAACGAACTGTGGGAGAGAACAAACCAGATTCCAGTGGAGGAGGAAATCTGGAAGAAGTGGTGGAAGTGGATAGGACACACACTACGAAAAGCATCTAACTGTGTCACAACACAAGCCCTCACATGGAACCCTCAAGGCAAAAGGAAAAGAGGAAGGCCAAAGAATACATTACGCCGAGAAATAGAGAAAGATATGAGAGGAATGAACAAAAATTGGACAGAACTGGAGAAGGAAGCCCAGGACAGAGTTGGTTGGAGAAAACTGGTGGGCGGCCTATGCTCCATTGGGGGTAACAGGCGTAAGTAAGTAAGTAAGTA